ACAATAGCATTTAAAAGAATGAAATACCTAGGAATAAATTTAACCAGGGAGGTGAAATATTTGTACACATAAAGTTGCAAAACATTACTGAAAGAAATTAAATGAGACCTAACTAAATGGAAAGACATCCTGAATTCATGGAAAGGAAGATATTATTGTCAAAATGTCAATACTAACCAGAGCAATCTACAGATTCAAAGCTATCTTTACCAAAATTCCAACAGCCTTTTTTGCAAAAATGGAAAATTAATCCTCAAATTCTTATGGAATTTCAAGGCACAAAATAGACAAAACAGTCTTGAAAAAAGATAAAGTTGGAGAACTCAAACCTCCCAATTTCAATACATACCACAGCACTAGTAAACAAAACAGTGCAGTATTGGCATAAGAATAGACATATAGATCAATGGAATAGAATTGATAGTCCAGATATCAACCCATACATCTGTGACCACTTGATGTTTGACAAGGATGCCAAGTCTATTCAGTGGAGAAAGAATAGTCTCTTCAGAAGATGGTGTTGGGACAACTGGATTTTGGCATACAAAAGAATGCAGTTGAAACCCTATCTTGCACCATACACAAATATTAACTCAAAGTGGATCGGAGACCTAAATCTAATAGCTAAAACCATAAAACATTTCAAAGAACACATAATGGTAAATCTTCATGACCTTCGCTTTGGAAATGGAGTCTTTTTAAAATGTGAAATCAAAAGCACAAACAACAACAACAAAATAAATAAATCAGACGTTATCAAAATCAAAGCTTTTGTGCATCAAAAGACATTATGAAGAAAGTGAAAAGGCAACCTACAAAATAAGAGAAAATATTTGAAATCATGTATAAGAGTTTCATATCCAGAATACAAAAAAACTCCTACAACTTAACAAAAAGACAAACAATCCAATTTCAAAATGGGCAAAGGACTTGAATAGACATTCTTCAAAGAAGATTATGAATAATCAATGAACATATAAAAACATTCTCAGCATCATCAGTCATTAGGGAAATGCAAATTAAAACCACAATTAGATACTACTTAATACCTACAAGGTTGGCAATAAGAAGAATAATTAAAAAACTGAAAATAACAAGTATTGGTGAGGGTGTGAAGAAATAGGAAACCTCATACACTGTTAGTGAGAATGTTAGTGCAGCACTATGAAAAACAGTCCCTCAGAAAGTTAAAATAGAATTATCATATGTTACAGCCATTCTGCTCCTAGGTATGTACCCAAAGGAATTGAAACAGAGACTTAAATAGATATGTACACACCAATATTCAGGTAGCATTACTCGCAATAGCCAAAAGATGGAAATAACCCAAGTTTCCATCAACAGATGAATAGATAAAACCTGGCATATACATACAATGGAATATTATTCATCAATAAGAAGAATTGAAGTTCTGATACATGCTACAATAGGATGAACCTTGAAAACATTATGCTAAGTGAAATAAGGCAGACACAAAAGCACAAATATTGTATGATTCCACTTACATGACATACCTAAAATGGGCAAATTTATAGAAACAGAAAGTAGACTTGAGGATAGCAGGAGTTGGTTGGAGAGGGGAATGGGAGGTTAATGCTTAATGGCTATGGAGTTTCAGTTAGGAGGGATGAAAACAATTTGGAAATAGATAGTGATGATGGTAGCACAACATTGTGAATGTAGTTAGTGGCACGGGATTGTATACTTAAAAATGATTAAAATGGCAAATTTTATATAATATATATTTTACCACACTTTTTTAAATTAATTAAAAATGAATAAAATTATTACCAAAAACTATTAAATTGTGTACTTTAAATGTGTAATTGTATGGTATGTGAATTATATCTTGATAAGGCTGTTAAGTAATATAAAATAAACATTCACCTCAAAGTCATATTTACTGGATGTAACATGGATGGGTTTTTGTTTTACTCTTTTTGTTTTACTTCTTTTCCCATTTATAATAATTTCAGGCTCATTACTATAAACATCTCTGTTTTTATCAACACTAAAACAATTTTGTCAGTTAATAAGCCATAAAGTGAATTCCTTTAGAGGTATACGTATGCTCACTAAATTAAAATTGGAAATTCCTGTCAGAATTATCTTAGTCTTGCACTGACATAAGTTTCTTGTAGCACATTCAGAATGCCACCTTGTACAGTGTCTGCACATATTGGATGAAGAAGGAAATTAATAATAATTTAAGTGACTGAATGATAAATTATGGGAGGAAAAACATGTGATCCATGGAACTTCCTTCCCTCTACTCAGAATTTCTAAGTCAATTTTTTGCCTATTCATACAGGTGATTATATTCTTTAGAATCCCAACTCTTAGAGAGCTGTCTGCCTATTGACAGATACAATATGTTAAACGTTTCAATTTTTAACTTAATGCAGACTTAAGTATTGCACCATTCAGTGTTAGAACTGGCAAAGCACTTCATAACCAAATGAACATTTTGTTTCCCTCCCCTAAGGATCCATCATTTTAAGTATTGCCTATATTTTAATACTGAACTTATATAATGGATGAAGATGGAAAATTGTATTCTAGAATTTGAAATAGTAAATGTACTGAATAACACTAGAAATTTCCTTAATGGAAGTATCCATGGGTGGTATGTGATATTTTACTTTATAAGCAAGAAAGACATTAAGTATTAAATCTAACAATCCAGGGATTATTGGAATGGAAGACATACCTCTGATGTGGGAAAAACAGAATTAGTTTGAAACTGCTAATAAATGAATTTTGAAGTAGGAAGGATTTACCTTGCTCACATTCCAATACTCATGCTATAACTCTTCCCTTTTTTTATTACAACTTTTTGTCTTTACCCTTAAATATCATATTCCTTCTTTGTAGTTACCCAATTCTTTTTTTTATTTTTTTTATTTCTTTAGCAGCGCCACTTTCTTGGGCGTGTAGTTACCAAATTCTTGCATGCCAGACACCTTCAAATGCTTTTTTCTTTCATTTTAGTAGAAAATTATTTATGAAATAAAATCCTTTCAGAAGAAAAGTAGCTTCAATAACAGGATAAACAGGTCTGGAAATTTTACCGATTTACCTGACTTCTGCCTGCCAATCTTGGTCTGGCTCATCTGGGGGCCCAGCAGTTTATAGCCAAAAATAAATGCCTCATATAAGATCATTTGTATTGTTTGTGCCTCACTTCCATCCGACTGACTGCCAAGCTGGTCCCTCCAGTTCCTGGTTGTCTGCTCAGATTTTGGACCATCTGTCCTGTCTAGCCCTATGGTTTTGCATTCCTCTTGCTTCCTGATTTCATGCCTGATTTCAGCCCCTATTAATTTTTCTGAGCTCTTGGTGTCTGTGGCTTTCCTGTCTTTACCTAGCTCCTAATTTCTGTTTTGTTTTGATAGTCTTTACTTTCATGTTCAATCTTTCCTGTATCAGCCCCTGTTTTGGCATTTCGGCTCATTTCAAAACTGCCCTTCACTCCCTATTCCCTATTAAGTCTCAACTTTTAGAACAACCTTCCCAGAGCTCATGCCCTAACCATACTATATAGTGAGCATATTACCATACTATATAGTGAGCTTATTACTATATAGTGAGCATATTGAGGACTTAAGATAGACTATTTTGTCTTGGAATTAATGAAGGCAAAGAGTCAAACACAACTTATTCAAATGATTGGAACAACTCTTAAGTATTCAGCTAGTGGTTAAGGAATTAACAGATGCTTATTGATTCATTTAAGGGTGTATCTATGACTTTTTTCAGATAATAACCCACAGAATAGCTTCATGTGGCCCAATTCATCAATACCCCAAATGTAGCCTCAATGAGGATGAAATATTTAATCTATTGCATATTGAAGCCAATTGCTTAAAAATAATGGAGATCAGGAAGCTTAGAAGACACTGAATCCGTAGGGAGAGTGTGTTCCCAGCCAAATGTAATTTTAAGCCAGATTAGACTGTTATGCTCACTAATGCTCTTACTTCCTAGAAAAGGACCATGTGGTTTGGTAGATGACAGTAGGAGGTTATCCCTCTGGCAGTTTCTTTTCAGAATGCAAATCAGTAAGAGCTTCCTTTTTACTGCCTTTTCTTTTAGGATTTAGGGGTATATTGCTGACAAACATTGCCATTATACCCTGATTAGACAAAATTATTCATACATCATACACACACACATACATGTATGGAATCCTTTATGTCTTTAATAAGGTGTATTTATTGGCTATATTGTTTGTTTGCTGAAGAAAAATGAACAGTTTTTATTCCATTAGTTGTCACCAAGTGTTCTAGGGCTGTTTGTCTTCTAAAAAGTCTATTGATTATTAAGTAATTAAAGTTTAAAAAGAAAATAATCATTTGAGAGTCCAGTTAATGATAGGAAGTATGTAGATATAGTCTGATATGTGAGATTACCAAGGACATATCTCTTTATGATTTTCATGAAGGGAAACAATAACATAAAGAACTCTTCAAAACATTACATATAAATTTTCTGATGAAAATGTTGAAGACTGTGACTCATGTGCCACAGATCTTTATGACAGATAGTGTCATGGAAAATGGCCTTCAGGGTGTGGTGTAAAACATCAAGATGGCCTGTCTTTATAACCAGTTCTGCTTCATACTTTTAATATTGTTCTTTCTAATGTTGGAACATTTGTATTATTTGAGTAGTATTTTAAGAAATCAATATTAAGGTTAACTTTTGCCATCACTTTTATGTCTGAGGTTTTCATTTTTAATCTAACTATCCAGAGTTCAAGTTACATTTGCTTTCAAGAATGTGGTTGCGTTGGTATCCCACAAAAAAAAAAAAAAAAAAAAGAAAGAAAGAAAAGAAAAGAAACCCTTATGGTGATACATTCATAAAAACAAGTATGTTGGCTAGAAAATGTGTCTCAAAGGTTTCTACCAGACAGTAACCTGAAACTGTACCATAGTATATTTAAATACTTATCTTTTTTTTTTTTTTTTTTTTGTGGTGGCCATGTGTGCTTTAAGGAAAACTGAAGGAAGTGGTAACTGTTCATTTGTCAATCCCATCTACGGGAATTGGAGTGACCCAGAGAAAACAGAGGTGAGTGGCAATGGTAGCTGTATTGTTCCACACAAATGTATAAACACACACACATAAAACACACACACACAAACTACCCAGTGTTGTTTGGACATGTTTTTACATCTTGACTAAAAGAAATGTTTTAGTGGAGTTATTTCAATTGTGGGTAGAGAGGAGTTTCAATCTCTACAAATATGCCATGAGAATTTTCCATTTCAGGACAGTTTTAATCTGCTTATAAAGTCAGTTCACTGTTAAATGGCTTTATGGTCACTGTTCATAGTCAAAGAGAGCTGACAAATCTGGAAAGTATCAGTTTAACCCACAGAGTATTAGTCAGCTACTCACAGTAAGGATTCATTGGGTGTTCTTCATATTTTATTCTCAAAAACAAAGGAAGGATAGAGTTCTGTGTTCACTTTATATTTAGGATGTGTAGTCAGGGCCATTAACTGATAACTTAGAGGAAGAAAAAATAAATTAAGATTTATTACTTTTTCTTTGGCCATTTTGGGGCTAGTCTTTATTAGTATAATAAAAAGGAGAGAAAAATGGCAAGGCAAAGCCTTCTCATCCTTTTAAAAACTTTTTTTTTTTATTGTTTTAGTCTTTTTTGAGGTAAAATTGGCAAATGAAAATTGTACATATATTTAAGGGGTATATTGTTTTGATATGCATTGTGAAGTGATTGCCACAATCAAGCTATTTAACATATCCATCACCTCACATGTTACCTTTTTGTGTGTATGGTGAGAACATTTAAGATCTACTCTTTTAGCAAATTTTGAGTATAAAACACAGTAGTATTAACTATAATAACGTACTGCATGTTAGATCTCCAGAACTTATTCATTCTGCATAACTGAAACTTCGTACCCTTTGACCAACATCTCATTCCTTTCTTAAGTAGGTAGTATGATAATTCATTTGGATGTGAAGTAAGTTTAGTCATGACACACATCGGGAAGAGGTTTCTATCAAAGATCCACTTTTCAACATACTTCAAATGGTTTGTGCTGTGTATGTATTTGGTGGTGCAATTGATGACTCTAGAGAACCTTGGAAGTGAATTTTATTTATTTTCTATTCTGATAAAAGAAAAATTATTCATCCTTAACATTCCTTTTCCTACATTATGAATGGCTGGAGAAGAAATCCTATCACATCTCCTGACCTTTGTTGCTATTTTTATTTTTATTGTTTCAGAAACAAATAACTTTGCTTAATTAAACTAGGTCTACTTTCCCTGACATCATAGCAGAAAAATAGACTTATCTAAAGTACTATTTTAAAGACTCTTAGAGAAAACTGTCATATTCTAGTACAGAAATTGAGAGATTAGAGTAATGAACTGTCATGTACCTATCAGCCAGCTTCAAGAACCCATGGTCATTCTTGTTTTACTTCTACTGCAACCCATTTCGTCAACCTATCCAGATATCATTTAATTTCAATTGGAAAGATTCATCATTAAGGGATGAGGATTAAAAAAAAATATGACCATAGTATCAAACCTAAACATACCAATATTTTTTTATACCATCATATATTATACCATCATATATTCAGTGTTCAACCTACCCCAATTGTCTCATAAATAACTTTTTGTATCAGGTTTTGTATCAGGTTTTTTGTTACTGTTGTTACTATATTTTTAAAATCAGGAACCTTAGACCGGGCGTGGTGGCTCACGCCTGTAATCCTAGCTCTCTGGGAGGCCGAGACGGGCGGATTGCTCAAGGTCAGGAGTTCGAAACCAGCCTGAGCAAGAGTGAGACCTCGTCTCTACTATAAATAGAAAGAAATTAATTGGCCAACTAATATATATAGAAAAAAAAATTAGCCGGGCATGGTGGCACATGCCTGTAGTCCCAGCTACTTGGGAGGCTGAGGCAGGAGGATCGCTTGAGCCCAGGAGTTTGAGGTTGCTGTGAGCTAGGCTGACGCCACAGCACTCACTCTAGCCTGGGCAACAAGTGAGACTCTGTCTCAAAAAAAAAAAAAAAAAAAAAAAAAATCAGGAACCTTAGAAAGTATATGCATCCAAATTGTAGAGACATCTCTACCATCTCTTAAATCTCTTTTCATCTCTAAGTTCCATTTTCTCTTATTTTTTTCTTACAAATTATTTGTTGAAGAAACCAGCTTATTTGTCCTATAGAACATCCCACATTTTAGATTTCTAATGTAGTCTGTAAACTATAATTCTACCAACTCAAAGCCATTTAAAATTTTTGTTGTTGTTTTTGTTTTGTTTAACATAACTATATTCAATATAGCAGGCTTAGTGAAACCAGCACCAGAGAAGGAGGTAGTCAAAATACTGGCCACCGTGTTTCCCCTTCCCACCATACGTGAGGATGAGGCAGTGGTGCCTATGGCCAGAAGACCCAGGGACACCCTGAGTCTAGGCCTGTGTCAGCAGTTCAAGCAGTGTGGACTGCAGGTGCTGGAGGGAAGAGCAACAGATGCTCTAGTTATTACTTCAGTGGAAATCCATTAGAAGTTTGCTGCATTCTGTGTGGTATTTAAAGAAATTCCTTATTTTTAATACCTAAAATCCTAACCTTTCAAATGTGGTTTTCTTCTTCAGAGTTCTGTCCACTCCTTCTCAAATCCGTTATATGGCACAACATCAAGAAGCCTGGAGACCATGTCTCATCATCTCAAATAGCAGCACCAAGATCAAAAATGATCAAAATATGTATAGTTTATTCCAGTCTCTGAAATCTGAAAGAAACACATCTTACACAATAGTAAAAAGAAAAAATTCAAAATGCTAGTGTAATTATAACATTTATGAATAAATTTTCTTACTGAATACAGTGAATGTTTTCATGGAATCAGAATCAGTACCTTATCTTCATTGTATATCAGAATATTTTAATAAAGTTTTCACTTAATCAAGTTTCTTGTTTTCCTTTGATTTTTATCATGGTTATTTTTTAAAATGTAAATCAGGTTGTTTCTGATCCTGAATATAAAGAAGTTTTAAAATGATTTGTGTTATACAGCTTAGAAACAAAAGAGAACTGACATACTAACAGGAATGGACAAATCATAGTAATACTAATAAACATAATCATAAGTAAAAATTATTTCTGGTGAGACATGGTGGTTCATGACTGTAATCCCAACACTTTGGGAGGATGAGGTGGGAGGATTGTTTGAGGTGAGGAGTTTGAGACCAGCCTGGGCAACATAGTAAGCCCACTCTCTTTAAAAAAAGTTTTAAAAACTTAGCTGGGCATGGTGGTGCATGCCTGTAGTCCCAGCTACTGGGGAGGCTGAGGTGGGAGGATTACTTAAGTCTAGGGTTCAAGGGGATAGTGAGTTATGGTGGTGCCACTGCACTCTAACCTCAAGGACAGAACAAGACCCTTTCTCTAAAAATAAATAAAAAAATAAATTCTGCATTTTGTAAAAATAAGTGATGTTATCAGCCTATTCTTACCTTTTTGAAGTAAAAATTTAACACTTTTATATAGATATAAAAATAATGCTAACATATATGCATTAAGAAGCTTTGAGATACAAGAAACTAAAAACTCCCTACTCAAATATCTTAAATAATGTGACAATCATTATCCCATACCTCAGGAAATTAGGTGATAGACCACCTCTTTGATATCATAACACCTCCTTGACTTCAGCAAGGTCACGGTTGTTGACAAGTTTCATGTCCCGGGCTCCACTGTCAGGTTAGCTCCCCTGCAGGTTAGATGATGACTACACAAGATGCAGCGCTATTGTGTCCACCACAAAAGTTCAGAAGCAGAGACGGGACCATTTCTTTCTGCCTGTCACTTTTTACCAGCAAGAAAATCCTTCCCAGCATGCACTAGCTGCACATCTCTTTTCTTATTGGCTGGGATAGATGCGGAGCTCACGCCCAGCCAATGGCTGCAAAGGTGATAAGGCCGCCATGATTGGCTGAAAGGCTTCGCTGTCCGCCCTGGCGTTCTCGTCCTCCAGTGAGGGTTCCTGCAAGTTCTTGGTTTTCTTCACAGAAAAGAACTTCAGGACGCACCACAGGTAAGACGAGCAAGCGGTTTTTATCGAAAGAGAAGATTGAAAGCGAAAGTGAAATTACACTCTCTAGTGAGTAAGAGAGCAGGTAGGCCCCAGAAGAGCAGCTCACAGAAAGGAAGGGATTTTTTTTGCCTTTTGAGGGGAGGAATATTCGAGGCTAAGGAGTTTTGACTAAGAATTTGAGTAGTAATTTCTAGAATTGGGTTCCCTCCCGTTAAGGTGTGAAGTCCATAGGCGGGGCAGGGGAGGAGGGAGGGTAATCTCAGACAGTTATTAGGGTATGCAAAAGTTTATCTCCCCCAGAGAGAGAGTGGCCGCGAGACACGCAGGGAGGAAAGAAATGTCAGCGGCGGGGAAAGTTGCTTGGTGCTTTTAAAGGGTAGAAACGGCTATTTTTTTTTCCCCTCTGCTTAAGGGGACTGATAACAAAACGGCTGTGAATCTGTGTTGGCTTTTTCTACTTCTGAGGTAGCAGATTGATAGCAGAAACTAGTTTCTTCTTCTTCTTCCTCCTCCTTGTCCTCCTCCTCCTCCTCCTCCTCCTCGTCCTCATCCTCCTCCTCCTCCTTGCAGATTGATAGCAGAAACTAGTTGTTTCTTCTTCTTCTTCTTCTTCGACTTTTAATTTTTTTTAATTATTTTTTATTCAGAATATTATGGGGGTACATTTCGGTTTACATGTATTGTGTTTGCCCCACTCAAGCCAGGGCTACGAGCATGTCCCCCCCCCTTACAGTGCGTTCCGCTTCCATTAGTTGTGGGTTTACCCCCCACTCACACACAACTGACAGCACCCAGTGAGTACTGCTACCATGTGAACACCTCAGTGTTGGTCAGTTAGCACCAGTGTGATGGCGAGTACATGTGGTGCATGTTTTTCTATCCCTGTGATACTTTACTTTGAAGGATGGGCTCGGTCTTTACCCAGGATAATGTAAGAGGTGCAAGATCACCATTGTTTTTTGTAGTTGAGTAGTATTCCCTAGTATACATATACCACTTTTTTTTTTTTTTTTTTTTTTTGAGGCAGAGCCTCACTTTGTTGCCCGGGTCAGAGTGCTGTGGCGTCAGCCTAGCTCACAGCAACCTCAAACTCCTGGGCTCAAGCAATCCTTCTGCCTCAGCCTACCAAGTAGCTGGGACTACAGGCATGTGCCACCATGCCCGGCTAATTTTTTCCATATGTATACTTTTTTTAGTTGTCCAGCTAATTTCTTTTTATTTTCATTAGGGACGGAGTCTCGCTCTTGCTCAGGCTGGTCTCGAACTCCTGAGCTCAAACAATCCACCCGTCTGGGCCTCCCAGAGTGCTAGGATTACAGGCGTGAGCCACTGCACCTGGCCCATATTTTATTTTATTTTATTTTGTTTTTTTCATTCCATGGATAGTGAGAACATATATCACATTTTATTAATCCACTCATGTATCCACGGGCACTTGGGTTGTTTCCACATCTTTGCAATTGTGAATTGTGCTGCGAGTGCAGATGTCTTTATTATAGAATGTCTTTTTTTTTCCTTTGGTAGGTGCCTAGTAGTGGGATTGCTGGATCAAATAGTATTTCTATTTTTAGCTCTTTTAGGTATCTCAAATTACTTTCCACAGGGGTTGCACTAGTTTGCAGTCCCACCAGCAGTGTAAGAGTGTTCCAATATATCCACATCCACACCAGCATTTGTTGTTTGGGGACTTTTTGATAAGAGCCATTCTCACTGTAGTTTGGTTATGATCTCAATGTAGTTTTGATTTGCATTTCCCTAATGATTAGAGATGTTGAGCACTTTTTTATATGTTTGCTGGCCATTAGTCTGTCTTCATTTGAAAAGTTTCTGTTCATGTCCTTTGCCCATTTATTGATGGGGTAGTTTGATTTTTTCTTGTTGATTTTATTAAGTTCTATATAGATTCTTGTTATCAGCCCTTTATTGGAGGTGTAGAATGCAAATATTTTCTCTCATTCTATAGGTTGTCTATTCAGTCTAATAATAGTTTCCTTGGCTATGCAGAAGCTTTTTCATTTGATCAGGTCCCATTTGTTTATTTTTGTTGTTGCTGTGATTACTTTGGGGGTCTTCTTCATAAATTCTTTGCTTAGGCCAATGTCTAAAAGAGTCTTCCCAACATTTTCTTCCAGAGTTTTCTTCTTTCTTCTTGATAGCGGGAAGCATCTAATACCATCTCTTCTTGAGGAAGCAAGGGAAGCTTGTACTTTTTGTTCACTCAGGAAGTTTTTCAAGGCTGAGAAAGAACTCAGAGATAACAAGTTAGGCCACACATGTTTTAATTAAACAAAGAGTAGCTGTGAGTTTATTTCTGTTTGATAATATATTTTCCTCTGTTAGATAGGTTGTTAGTAAGGTTGTTAATAACCTCTCATTTTTATACTTTCTAATTTTGGGGGGAACAGTCATAGAGATTTCAAGGACAGAGAACTTTTTAAAAACACAATACAAATGAAATTGTAATAAGCCAAAATTCATGTAAGGTGATCTAGCTAGCTGACAAGCTGGTTGAAGCTTGGTTCTTGTCTGGTTATTAGCCACTCTTAGTTTAACACCCACCTGTACACACTCTGCAAACCTCTGCATCCCGCTTCTAGCTTAGTAGTCTAGTTAGCTATTGCCTAAGGGTTGTTTCTTTCAGTACCTGCACCCAACTATGCAAGTCTCTTCATCCAGTTTTAGCCAGGTCTCTACTCTCCTACTCTAACATTGGGATTGAGAATAGACCTGTGAAGCACATTGTGAGGTAGATAAAGGTAGATACTTAAAGGAAATTGGAGTTAGGAAGGGCGTTAGGTAGGCAACAATCAGCATCTAAATAGGAATGTTTCTTTTTCTAGTGTTAATGTGCCCTTCAATCTAGTGGATTCAGATAGAATGGATTAGCAATCTGCCCTGCCTAGGGTGGAAAGGAGGAGAAAAAAGTTAGGGCCACTACCACATATCATTTGGGACATTTTTGAGCTCAATGTAAAGTCAGTTGTACAGTATAACTTTCACTACTATATTATTGCCTTTTTGAGACTACAGACTAGCAGAGAAATATTTTTCATTAATCTTGCAACAAATTAATCTCAAATTTCATCCAAATTAATTTTCGAATCCCACTGACCGCCGTATTATTATTTTTTTGCTTTATGTTAGTATATTTTTCTAATTGCTGCTTTCGTGTTGACATCAAAATTTCTGACTCTGGAAAAATTCACACAAGAAGAGATCAGTAGTAGCAATAGCTATTTTTTTGTTGTTGTTAAGTCTGGCCCCTGGTATTGTGGGACATTGTCATTTTTGGAAGTTGCATTTATTTTAGATTATAACTATTATTCACATATATTCAGGATCTTTGCTTAAGCATACGGAATTCTTTTTAAAAGCCTTGAATTAAAATTCAGCTATCGTCTTAGTAAAGAACTCGAGGCTACTACATGAAAATGCAATTTCTTACAAAAGAGATAGTAAAAATGATTATCCAACTGAAATTGGCCTGTTTCACAAGAATATTGAGAGAATTCATGACATATATGGAGCTCCAGATTTAGTGTAATAACAGGAAATCAAAAGAGAATAGAAATGAGGGCGCTGTTAAGAGTATTGACATTTTTCTTTAGGTGCAAGTTATGTATTATGTACCCTAAAATATTTAAATCAAGCATTTTGTAAGGACTTATAAGTACATATGGCAATTCTATGAAACCAATAGAATGAAACTGATTTTTCTTATCCAATAAATACAACAGGTTAAATGCCCATGCTGTTTTCTTAATTTAATGAGAGATTCAGAAATGAAGACTTTATTTTTCTTTACATCATTTTTCTTCTGAAAACTCTTTGATATAAGTCCAAATTTGCACCATTGTGATTTTAAAAATA